TACTTTACAAACTTTAATTTATCATAATAAAATCCTACAGAGCTATAAAGTAATTTATTATAATACTGTTGTTCTAGAAAATCCCCTATTTACACAATAGTTTACAATATAATTAAAGAAGACTGAATTAAAATTTAATTCTATTTAATTAAGCTGCACTCATCCCTCGTTGGATGTAGCTCTCCGTCAGACCAGTCCAGTATTTCCTATTCTTATCACACCGTGTCCATATGATTCCTGTTTCCACCACTATATCGTCTCTACATCTTCTCTTTTGCTTTCCATTAGATCTTTTCCCTGTCTTAGGTTGCCATTCCATTGTTCTTAATGTCCACCTAGTATCATAATACCTTACTACATGCCCAGCCTATTTCCATTTAGTTCTGGGAATTATATTTGTTGTTTTTCTTATCCTGTCATTTCTCCATCTGTCTTGTAGTGTTATATAAAGTACTACAAATATATATGGTAGACATGCAAGTTCCTTTATCCCTCTTTGATCTTCCTTTAATTATCAGGAATTAAATAATAGACCAATTTTCCAAATTTTGTGTATTAATAACAACCTACATTGCTCCAATAACAGAGACCGTTTCTAAACTTGTAGATTTCCTGGCTTTAGCCATTCCCAAATTGGATTTATTTATTTCCCTTGTGGGAGCCTTTGCCAGCAGTTGTCTAGCGATGGTGTTTCCTTGCATCTTAGAAGTGATTGTTTTTTGGGATGATGAGATGAGTAAGTGACAGAAATAGTGTAGTAATAAAGTCCATCATTAACTTTTTATCACATATGTTTTTACAGAAAAATATACATATAATTTGTTTCTTGGAGAAATCGTTTCCGATTTAATTATTTATTTTTTGTATAATAGTTCGGATTTATGAAAATGTAGTAAATCGGTTTTAGGATGTATGTACATATCTCAAGAGAAATATAAATAATTATTGTTTTCATAATTTTAATGTTGTGAAAATATCACCGAACAGAAAAGTTCGACAGCAAACAAACTACGTTTAGTTATATACTGATCCAGGATAATGAGGTACTAGAGAAACTAATTTATATTTTGATAAACCACCACTGTTTAGATAAATAATGTGATATTTTTTTTTCTTTCATAGGTCGTTTTAAGTGGACTTGTCTTGTGGTAAAAAACGTATTCATAGCTACTTTTGGAGTGTTTGGTTTTGCTACAGGAACTTACGCAAGTGTCAAAGCAATTATAACAGCTTTTTCTTAGGCCTAGGAAGAGAAGGAAAATCATTTTTCTTAGGCCTAGGAAGAGAAGGAAAATCAACGTGTGTTCAGTGATGTCCCCAAGGGCGAAATTACCTGTATAATTATATCATTTACACACATAAAACACACATTGTTGTAGTAAGTATTTCTGTACTAGTAAAGTGACTAGGTAAAAAATAACACATATTCTTGTAGTAAGTATTTCTGTACTAGTAAAGTGACTAGGTTACTAGTACAGAAATACTTACTACAACAATGTGTGTTTACTAGTACAGAAATACTTACTACAACAATGTGTGTTATTTTTTACCTAGTCACTCACCTAGTCACTCAAAAAATAACACACATTGTTGTAGTAAGTATTTCTGTACTAGTA